GGGGCTTGATTTTTGAAAACAGGAGAACTGATTCTCCAGAGAAAAAATTCACCTGACAAATTTCTCTTAAAAACTTAAACACTTATTTTTGAACGTTGAAGGAATCCAATTCTCTAGAGAATTTAATTTATGCCGTATGTCGAGGATATATTTGCAACTGACCAATCAGCGGGCAGAGTTTTCTTCAATATTTCAGTGCCATTATTGGCGACCCTGATGTTTAGTCACTTGATTTGATTTTGAAGTTTGTTTTGTAAATGTCATTATATTCGTCAGGGAGACTAGACATCTCCATGATATTCGTAGTAATTTAATATAACTTCAATTTGAATAGAAGTATATTTGAAAACACAAAAAATTTAATATTATTATAATTATGATGAAGCGTTCGTTCACGTCGAAAGCGCAAAAAAGAAATTAATATGCTTAGAAACAACGAACAACTTTTTAAAATGAAAGTTTTCTTCTACTTTTACTCACAAAAAGGCCCAAGAACAGTGGTCAGATATTGCTGAAAAATGGTTTAATTAATGTTGTCGCGGATGGTTTACAATTTCTGCAGCTTGCAAATTATTCATTATATTTAGAATTAATAATAAATTATTTGGATCCATTACAAATTTCAAATGATTACGCACCTTCGAACAGCGAATGAATGAAGTGACAATTTGCGCATGAGCATGAGCATGACATTCGGATTCAAACTATTCGGAGAAAACGCCAATTCCCCCGACAAAACCCTGTGGAATTATTTCTCTTGATATCTAGAGAAAATATTCCACAAGAAAATTTCAAAAATCACATTATTTGAGTGTGAAGAGAAAATGACGTAATTTTCTCTAATGAACTAACTCTCCTGTTTTCAAAAATCAAGCCCCTGATAGTCGTTTTTTGGATTCTGAAGAAGGGAACTACTATCTCATTGGCAACTCTTTTTGAATGCAATTAATCGAAGTCCAGGCGTAAAATTTAATTGCGATTTTAGAAGATACTCAGATTCAGTACTCATATTAATATATCTATTTATAAACCTCATATATGATTTAAATCTAATGATATTTTTAATAAAATCGAACGATAAAGATCCTAAATGATCGGTTTAACACGACAGAAAAATTAATATACAAGTTAATATTCAATTTTCTATGTAACACGATCATATTTCTGAAAATCCATGTAGTGTAATATATAAGGTCTGTTCCAACAAGAGTCAGGGATTGGTTCCGAACCGTCAGAAATGTGCATCCAACTAATTCTTGCGATATATTCACTGAAGACACATTTAGAACTTAGCTGGCCAAACATTTCGAACGGTTCGGAACCAATCCCTGACTCTTGTTGGAACAGACCTTTTATGTTCAGTTGGCATCCTGCTTTTTGACAACGGTGTGGTGAGATTACACGTCAAACAATCATAAGAGTGATTTTGATTCTGTTTATTTATGAAAGTGTAAATTAAAATGTTTCATTGACATTATAGTTCGTGTCCACTTATAACAACAAAAAAATAATAATAATAAAAACAAACTTATAACAATGGGTGTGTGCTAAAAATGTTAGAGTTGACAAAGTTGAATTGTAGGTTAATTTGAATGTTTTAGGTGTCTTATTTAGTTACTTTAAGAGCTTAATAGGTGCTCGAGAGATGAGGATACTAATACTAGGTTTAGATGGTGCTGGAAAAACTACAATTTTGTACAGGTTACAAGTAGGTGAAGTTGTAACGACTATACCAACTATAGGTTTCAATGTCGAACAGGTTACATATAAGAATCTTAAATTTCAAGTATGGGATTTAGGTGGTCAAACTAGTATTAGGTATTAAATAGAACCATAGTTCTCAAAACAATATTTTACTTATGCTGTCGCTTTTAGGCCATATTGGAGGTGTTACTATAGCAATACCGATGCTATTATTTATGTGGTGGACTCGGCAGATAAAGAAAGAATGGGCATATCAAAAGATGAACTTTTTCATATGCTAAGGGTAAATAAATTTTTAATGAATTTTTTCTTATTTTTAGCAGGAAAACAACTATAAAAATGTAATGTCACTAAATACCTACTTTTTTCCTAGCCATTTTATGGGAATTAGGAAGTTTGTTACAATTTTTGAGTATCACATACTGAGCCGATTTCTTGAACAGCGAGTGCTTTATTTAAATAATTTTATACATTATGAGGAATATAATACATAAAATTAATTTTCTATTAATAATTATTTAGCATCACCTTGATATTGTATTTTATGATATGATTATTATTTCAATATTTTCATAAGATCCAGTATGTTAAATGCAAACTCTGTTGTGCCAAAAGAAATGAATTTTTATTTATTGATTACGATGTACAGGCCGTCACTTGACATTTCCACTCATGATTCCTTAGACACCAAAAGGCATGTTTTAACTTAACAGTATTAACTGTGGACAGAGGAGAATAAATGGTTTAATTTGTTAGATGCTATTACAACTTTTATTGTTATAATAATGGCCATAACACCATTTTTAAAGTAAAAAAATAAAAAAAGCTACTTACCCGAAAATGAAACGATTGAATATGGCATCCATAAGATATAAAAATTTCAATGTCAGTCAGTCCTCATTAAAAAATTAAATGGAGTACTCTCATAATGCAATATGTGCTCTTTCCCCATTTGAATTTTCTTTTTTGCAAAATATTTTATCGTCAACTTTTTAAATTATAGATTTAAATAAATTCTGAAGTTATCTTAAAGTATCTTTACAAATTGCTAATTTGTGTCAAAGCTATGTGCAAAAAATCAAGAAATCATTCAAAATAAAATTTGCATTTCAAAAATGAAGAATGATTTTTTTTTCTGTGGTGTGCAATAATTTTTAAAGAAAATGTTAACTTCATATCTACGCCACTGGTTTGTGATATTTTTTTACATTGACAATATTTTATTCATGTATTGGTCATACAAATTTCTGCTCAATTTCTTGATTTGGTCAGAATCGGAACATATTTAGGCATAAAATTTTTTAAAACTTGCGCTCTTTATGTTGTTAAAGATGCATCCGAGACACCACCATGTTTATTAGGACTCACCGTCTTTCTTTTATATACTTATCCACTTTGGTCAGTTTTACTAAATTTAAACACGTGCTGGGTTTATTAAAAATTTATTGTAGGTCGCACATTTAGTGAAATATGATACAATAAACATAATAGTAACACAACAATCAAAAATTGTAATTAAATTATTTTAGAATGAGTTTGATTTTGTTTATTAGGAAGAAGAATTAACAGACGCCATTTTGGTGGTCTTAGCAAATAAACAAGATATCCCTGGGTGCATGTCCTTAAAGGAAGTGCACCAAGCCTTAGGCCTAGAAGCACTAAAAAATAGAACTTTTCAAATCTTCAAGACATCAGCCACCAAAGGTGAAGGCTTAGATATGGCAATGGAATGGCTGGCAAATGCGCTGAAGAATCGGAAATAACACTTTATTTATTTATCTAATCTAGTCTCCTATACAGCACTAAACGAGAAGGTGCAAATTTGTATAATACTTTCTGGAAACTGAAAAATGCCTATTTAATGTAAAATTTAATTTTATTGTAAGATTTGAGGTCGTATTTACTTTAAGTATTTTCACAGAAGTATGGTCAGGTTACAAAATGCTGGATGCAGCCATCGACACAAACTGATATATCCAATTTTTTAGACAGGCTTTTCTTTAGATATAGTGTAGGTGCATTTAAAATGACATTATTGTGGTTTATATCCATTTTCAAACACTGCTCATGACCAAACGACTGGTTTGGAATTAGATCTAAAAGGAGTCGTTAATGAAAAATTACAAATTAATTCACTGTTCTTTGTTTTTCACTGCATGTCGAGAATGAATATCATAAGAGGTACCTATGTCAGTATATAAAATTAATATGTTTACATGCCCGTAATAGGATTAACGAAATGTACATTTTTTATTCGAATATGTTTTGTGGCCTGACTGATCGTCATTCCATTTGATTTGTTGTTTTATAGATTCTGTCAAACACATGCTAATAATTGTAATATTTAATTAATAAATACATCATTCTCTGAAACATCTATATTCTTACATTTTGTACATTCAATAAAATATAGATGTCCAATATTGTTTATTATTTAATAATAAAAACACAAATTCAAAATGAAGATATTTTTATTAAAGCGAAGAGAACCAAACATACTTCCTGGGAAATACGATACACTGATAAAATGTAATGCCATTTGTCAGAAACAAAAAAGATAAAAACAAGTCAAAGTGTTTAATATTTAGATAAATATGTAAAAGGTAAACATTTGTTTTCTCATTTTGGTATATTTTTATTTGTGGCAAATGAATTTCAACCAATAATAACCACTTTAATGTTGATTTAAGGGCTGAAGCTACCAGAATTTTGAAAAAAAAATCAATTTTTTGATAAATGGTTTAAATAACGCTTTCTTATGTGAAGAATAATGAAAAAAGTTTTAGGTACGGAAAGAATTAGGAACACGAATATTTTCGAGGTGGAACGCTACCACTCGCAGCGTGCTACAGGAGTGCTTATTGTAACTTGTGAGAATGCGCGCGATAGCTATTACAGAGACTAAATCCGTTAATAACAGACCCTTCTGGCTATACAGTCCTCTGAAAAAAGGTGTCGTTGCTTGCCATCACCTAAAGCCACCATTTTATACTACCCAAAAACATGTACATACAATAAACTCTTTTTGTTCTGGACATTATATCTTGTATCGATTTTTCCTTGACAACTTCCCAAAATCACCTTTTTTCCAAACCCTAAGTGGTGTTATCCCTTAATCTCCACTCAAATTTTAAATAAAATGTAGAGCTGCCGGTAAAATACTTTTCCCGTGATTGGAATGATGCATTTAGCATAGAAATAGAAATAGAAATTTATTTATTCTAGGGACAAATATATATTTGTATAGTACAAGTCAAAAAGCAAACAATGTCTACAATTCTTCATAACGGCCATAAAACTTATATGCTAAAATAAAGCAAATGCTAAACAAGAATTTGCTAAAATCAAACGAGCACATAAATAAAGTGTCAAACAATGAACAAATAAAAATTGTAACTAACATTCCGTAATTATTTGTCTGAAAGTATCCTCTCTTACATCTTCAATTTGATATGGTTCTGCAACAATTAATTTCGTTTTGAAAGTATTAAATAATCTAATCTCTCAAATGTTCTGAAAGTAAGTTGTATATTTTTAAGCACTTATTTTCCAATAAAGTTGCGTTATGATTGGGGTAACAGAACTTATTAAGTCTCGTATTATGCACATTTGGATTTAGGTAATTTTCAAACAAAGCCATGTTACAATAAACAAACTTATACATTCATAAATATAAGCTGCCGGTAGCGTCAATAGTTTTAACTTTTTGATAAAACTGCTCTCTTCTGAGTCACAAATGGATCCCAATTATGTGACCCCCCCCCTCCCCAAAATAAAATTTCATAGGTCATAACAAAATAAAGATTTCCCACAGTATGCAGTAAATAAGTGTATTCTGATCCTCCACCTTTTTAAGTTCTTTAAGTGTATAGCAAATTTCACTAATTTACCACAAAGCTGTTGCGACTGGGCTCTCCAGTTCTTATGTTGATCAATCCCCAGAAATTTAGGGGTACTTGTATATGCATGCAATGCAGTATTATCAATATTTGTTTTTTCAGGAAAGTTATGGTTACTTCTGCTATGCCTAAACAAAATACAATTTGTTTTAACGTTTATTAGTAATAAATTGATTTGAAACCAGTCCATAATATGTGGTATTAAATTTGAAAAGAGTAAGAGCTTCATAGCCCTGTTCGCCAATGAGAATATTTGTATCATTTGCATAATTTGTTAGAGTCGCAGACGGATCATTTAAAGAATTTTCTAAATCATTTATGTACAAAATAAATAGGATTGGGCCCAGCACACTGCTCTGTGGCACTCCTAAACATACAGTTTTGATTTCAGAAAAATGTTCTATTGCCTTGTTTTATGTTAACTTTTTGTGTTCTATTGGAAAGATATGACTTAAATTAACAATGAAGGGTGATACATTTTTTGTAATTTGTTAAGAAGAATTTGATGGTGGTGGTGGTGGAATTTAATACATAATATTAATAATTGTTCTAACATGAGTTACTAGGAGCCCTGGCAATTATGTGTTCGAACAAAAAATAATACGCACGGAAAATAGATATGTGGTTTCAGATTTATCCTTATAAATACATATAGATAAAGGAGAAATAAACTTTTACTCTTATGTATAATTATATAGCAACAATACGCTTGTGATATCATAAACCAAAAAATAATAACTTGCAGCTTTTTCCCCAATTACCCTTGAATTACCTATTCACAAACTTCTTGACTTAAGAAATTGTTTCAAATTTCCTTTTTGAATTTTTCTTCAGATGTCTCTTTATCATCTCTGTAATACCAGTATCTAGATTGCTTGACAATCGGTCCAAATATGTCGTGTAATTATTTTTCATCTGGCCATAATTTTTCAACACCGGCAACAGGTTTCCATCATTATTTTCTGATATTTATCTGAGCTAATGTTCTTGTCTATGAACTGCAAAGTTGCCAATCCCTTCATAGACATATCAAACATGAGTGCTCCTTTGACATACAGAAATTTATGGTCCATTTCAAGTAGTCAAAGTGGAATGCTTTACTGTACTTGGATTACACGCAACCAACCGACTGATGCTTCAAATTTAGATTTGTTATTGAAAATAATTAATTGTATTCTAATCTTCCTCATTAATAATCCTAGGTAAACAAATGGCAGTACTCTGGACAGAGGAAGAGTGGAACAGGATTATTTTCGAATCTAAATTTGAAGTATCATAGCGATAGTTGGATAGTAGTCCAACTAAAAATGAGCATTCTACACTGCTTAAAGTGGACCATAATAACATTCCTCAAAAGAGTAATGGTATGGAGATGTACGTCATCTAAATGTTGAGAATTTTGCAGTTCACTGACAGGCCCACTTACACTGAGAAATATCGGAACATACTGGCAGTGAATTTTCTGCTTGATATAGAAAAATTATACCCAGATGAAAATTGAATTTTCCAACAGGATTGTGGATCTTATTATAAAAGGATTACAACTTGGTTCGGAAATAATATAACAGTTTTGGACAATCTGCCAGACCTCAATATTGTAAAGACATTGTGGTACAAGATAACAAAACACTTAAAGGAAAAATTCACAAAATGTAGTGATGAACCAATGTCAGAGGCTTGTGGGTACCATGTTTTAAAGAAATAAGTTTGAAAAATTATTAGCCATGTGAACAGTAGTTAATTGCCAGCAAAAATATTGTTTATTTTATGTTTTTTGGTAGTCCAAACATATACATAGTCACAATATATTTACACTTAAGCATAAAAGTTTATCACTCATCCTGTAACTATGTTTATAAATAACGAAAGTTTCCGAGTGTTGGGACATCTGGTTGTCAGAGCTCATATACACGTACACCTCTGTATAGGAATCTTTAATTTTTGTATTCCACTAGATAGTACAAAATTCTCTGTTATACAAAGCAGATTATAATCATAATTTCAATTTACTCGTTTGAATTTGTGGAAACTATAGACTTGCCCAAAGTTTGTCATTTGTGTTGAAGTTAGTAGCTTCACTAAGAAATTTGTGTTAAATATAATACACTTACCAGCATATATCTCCCTCAAATGCACATATTTATCAGTTAAAAGAGTAACATATTTTGAAAAGAAAAATTCTATATACCATATTGACTTTTTCAAAGAAAATTTTATTGTACCTATAAATAATGTATCACCATACCATATTGTGTTTAGGCATTCAACAAAAAATTTGGGTATTATATTAGATTATGATTTTCATTATAGAGATTATGTAGAAAAAAAAATCCTTTGAAATTCTTTAAAAATTTTGTATTTAAATCGATATTTAAATTTCTCTTCAAAAAAATCTCTGTGAATCTCATTTTATCTCATTATCATTATAATGATTAAAAGCTTTTTTTACAGCTTTTCTCTACAAAAATCGTATTCAGTTTCTACAAAATTCTTCTGTTCTTCTGTTTGTTTGATTTACAATTTAAGAAAGTACAATCACATTTATCATATTTTAGTGAGCGGCATATTTCAAGTTGCAATATAATTGAGAAAATCATGTAAAATGTAATTAATTGTTATTTACCATTATTTAAAAAAGGATACAGTTTTTAAAGGATGTGAAAAAATTTACAGGGAAGAAAATTAAATGGATGCAATTTTGTTTGTAGTATACAGGGTCAGGGTAGTATATTTTTTGTAACAAAAAATAGAATATGGTAATAGTATCCATATCTCCGCCATGGTTATTTAGGAAAATGGTAAATTTTTAATTTTATACCCACCAACATGGTAAATATAATTTCAAATTTGTTAAAAATATCTCAAATGATTTAGAAATATATACATGGTGTAATTTTGCGGTGGGGTCATATTTATACAGAAGCTACATTTCAGGGCTACAATGTTGTCAAATCTCATTTTCTTAAAAAAATGCCTAATAATTTTTTTAATTTTTGATGGTCTCTTATTAATGATAGTAGGCCGTAGAAAAAATCACATGTCAAAAAGTAGGCCTTTTTGAGTACTATCACATAAATAAAAAAAAAATTTTGAAAATCGGCCAAAGCTATCCTAAGTACGGAGATGTTCCGACTTTAAGTGAAACACACTGTATATAGGATCCAAAAAACCGATTTCAGTTGCCAGCACTAGTAATTTTGCGTGGGTGGTCATATTTATACAGAGGCTACATTTAAGGGCTACGCATGGTTGTCAAATCTGATATTTTAAAGGAGTAAAATGGAGCGGGGAGTACAAAAAAAAATAATAACACATAATTGTTTAAAAATTTTAAATGATTTTAAAAAAAATATTTCATATCAATTAGATTAGTATTTTTATTTATATTTATCATGTTTGTTTTTTAAAACAGCAAAAATAGTTTATTTTATTATTTATTATTATTTAAAACATAAATTAGTTATATTTACAAATGGTAACATATCTACATACCANAATTGCGACTGCACCTGTAGTAAATCAGCTGACAGTTGTTTATTAGTCACGCAAACATTAGTCTGTTTATTATTGTTTTTTGACACCTTGGATTTATCGGATGCCTCCACCGGCTTGGCTTTTTCCGAAACACTTTTTGCAGTTTTGTTTGCTAGCGTCTGTTTTTGCGGCTCAATGGGTTTAATACGATGTTCCGATAATAACTCAACTTGCCTATTTAGGAGATTTACCTTGTCTTGTAATTCACTTATTAGCAAATCTTTTTGCTTAAGCACGTACGAAAATATACGTGGGTCGACAGTTCTATCCGTGGACGTCATCATCTCATCCAGTGCATCATAGAATGCGGTGTCTACTTCGGCAATATTTGCCTGCCTTAATTCCATTTCACAGCACAGAACTGCACTTTTGTCATCAGAAAACTTTGTACACAGTTTAGCACAACTTAAATGAAAATAACTTGAGCAGTTTTGACATTTTATACCATTTATAACTTTGGATTTGCATCGTTTACAAGGCACATTAATACCCGAGCTACTTGAGCCGGCCATCGTTATAACTAGTATAATAATGGCCGGATATCTGAAAATCGGTGCTTTGTAAAAGCTGTGATTCTTCAATTTATTATTTATATGAATGGATTTGGTCGTTTGGTGTATGTGAGTGTGGGTGACTGTTTTTTATCAGTCTGTGTCTGTGTCCCAGGATAAAATATAAAAATAAATTGTATTTCCCTTAATACTTCAACCCTTGTACCCCCTAGTACATACCCCTGTATGTACTATGTAGCCTGTGTCAATAACTATATAACACTAAGACATGGTGTTATGTAGTTATTGTCTATAAAGAAAGAATCCAATTATTCGGATGTTTGAATAGATTATCGAATAATCGGTTATTTGAATAATCGGATATTTGAAGAATCGAATAACCGGTTTTCGGGTTAAGTAAAAATCCGAATTATCTGAAACCGGTTAACTGACTATCCAAAAAACCGATTTCAGTTGCCAGCACTAGTAATTTTGCGTAGGGGGGTCATATTTATACAGAGGCTACATTTAAGGGCTACACATGGTTGTCAAATCTGATATTTTAAAGGAGTAAAACGGAGCGAGGAGTACAAAAAAAAATAACACATAATTGTTTAAAAATTTTTAATGATTTTAAAAAAATATTTCGTATGAATTAGATTAGTATTTTTATTTATATTTATCATGTTTGTTTTTTAAAACAGCAAAAATAGTTTATTTTATTATTTATTATTATTTAAAACATAAATTAGTTATATTTACAAATGGTAACATATCTACATATCAATATTTGTTAATATTAATAAATCATGAAAAAAACAATTTTTTTAAATTTTGGCACGTTGTCTACAGTAACATAAAAAAATACAGTAACTTTAAAATAACATGTTGTTTTCATTAAATTATTTTTCATTAGTTTTGCTGTCTAACAATTAATTAAAAAATATATATCTACAATTAGTAACGTATCTACGTACCATTATTAGTTAATATTTAATTAAATCATGTAAAACTCTTTATTTTTTTTTTAATGTTCGGCGCTTCGACCACAGTGATATCAGAAAAATATGGTAATTCTAAAATAATATGTTGCTAAGTTATACCAAAGCAATCTGTTTTACTAAATTATTTTTCATTGTAACTTCACACAAAATGAGTTGACTTAAACAACTGGCAACGCTAATAGTGCACTAATATGTACATTCTGGGTGGCCCTGTTTATTTTTATTTTTGAAACTATATTTAACCAAATTAACTTAATTTTGGCCATAGCATCCCTAGATTTTTACCAAGTATTTGGGAAACACTCTGTACAACAGTTGACTCTGTTTAATTTTTAAATATCTTGAAAACAAAAACTTAATGAAAATTACACAGTCCACCTCCAATCTACACTCCTATAATATGTAAAAAAAAACTGGCATATATTTTGTTTACATTCAAAAGCTGAAGATATACATGAAATCTGAATGAAATCATGACTAATTTGTGATGGACACGGTATGAGCAGATTTAACTGAACATTTTAGTTAATATCCTGTATAAGTTACTTACTATATGTATATTTGGGATAAAGGAATGTAGACGAAATTAAAATCTAAATGTTTCTATGTATGATTATATAATTCACCTAATATAATACATGATATTAAAGCCTATAAACTATAAAAAATATTATATGGCACACACAAACAAACCCAGTAAAATCTGTTAAAATATATACAATAAAAATATTTAACTAATAGTACAATCTAACTCACCATGCTTAGGCAAACAATCTAAAGTAACAGCCACTGCCCGAGTCATATATGTCATAGTACCATAACACCCACTGGGGGCACTATCGTAAAAATGTTGACAGATATAGGCGGCACCCCCACATAACAGCCCACCGAGCCTAGAAGTTTCCCTTAACTCCTTCGGTTTAGCACAACAGAGTGTGGCGTCTCCATCACATTTCATCTAAAACAAGAATTAATAAGAACATTTTTATATGATGTCAAGAATATCTACCTGGTCATCCAAGAACAATTCATTGGCAGAGTGCACCAGATATTCAACCTGTATAACTCCACCTAAAGATGGAACAACATTATACTCGGACACTAATGTAAGTACCATCAAAGCTTCTACAATTAACTGTCTATATTCCGGTTGAGGGATGCTATTTAGAACTGTTTCAACTGCCAAAGCAAATTTTAGTTCACCAGGTGTCATTTCCTGTGTAAGTGTCTGGGGTAGGACTTTTCCTGCAATATCGATTCCTTGACACTGGAAAAAAACAGCGTAACTGAAAAATCACGTCAAAATCAGAAAATATTTGACTGTAAAATTTTGTCTGTAGAATATTGCAACACCCTGTATATCTTACCCTCTCAAGAATACCCCATACTCGGGGATAGAAATCTCTTGGAACCCTGTTCAGCGCTCCGTCTAACCTTCTCCTTCTCAGCCATTGACCCTGTCGATCTGGTTCTATCATATCATCTGGGGCAGAATCTGTTAAGCTGATGTGGCTTTTCTAAAATAAAGGATATATAGAATATGCCAACTCAACAAGTGGTTATTTACCTTGCTTATACGACTTGATTTATTGCTGACAATTGAGAAGTTACCCCTGCCAACTGAAATAAATGGACTTATTTAAGCTATTAATAGTTTTTGAGTATTTAACACAACTTATACACAGTGTCAAAAAATATTGTTAGGCTGATCAAAGTAAGAAAAAGGTACTGCATTGATTGATGATCTGTTTTTATAATTCTGTGATATTTGACACTTGAATACAGGATGGGGACAAAATCAAGGATATCAAACCTAAATTAAAAACATCAGTGTCACATTGAAGTGAAATAGTTGGGTTTGTTTATATGAGGTTTCAAAAAACATTATAGAAATAACAGAAAAAAGTTAAATTTTATTTTATCACAACTGTTCTCATATACATGTTAAATCTTAAGTGAAAGAGTAACCGCAAAAAACCCCATTTTTTCGCCCGTTTTTGCGTAGTGTGTAGCAAGAACGGGGAAGGTCATCCAGAGGTCTCCGTGGGCTTAAATTGATCGTCATGAAAAATCTATGTGAGCATAATTCGATTTCTCTAATATTTGTCCGACTTACCCCTACTTAAGGGGTGGAAACCACCCCTAAAACAAGAAACGTGAGAAAATGGACGATCCATTCTTGGTAAAAATTGGCGGGAATTTGAATGGCAAGGAAGAGATCAGGGATGTTTTTCCAAATATGCTCAAGGTGAAAAACATCCCCCGCGTGGGTGTAAAACCACCCCTATTGCCGAAAACCGGCGGCAAATGATGTTCCCTTCATGAATTGCCTTTTTTGTGCCACTCTTCCTTATAAATCCAAATGATATGAAATACATGCCCCCATAATTCGTTCTTCTGTCGGATTCTGATCATTTACCCCTACCGAAGGGGTGGAAACCACCCCTAAAACAAGAAAACAGAAAAAATGGCCACCAAAATCTGGGTAAAAATTGGCGGAATTCCACATGGCAAGGGTAACATCAAGAATGCCCTCCTAAAAAATGCTCAAGGTGAAAAACACCCCCCGCGTGGGGTGGATTTATCATGAGCATTTTTAGAAGGACATTCCTGATTTTACCCTTGCCATGTGAAATTCCCCCAATTTTACCAAGAATTTATCGACTATTTTCTCATTTTTCTTGTTTTAGGGGTGGTTTCCACCCCTTAAGTAGGGGTAAGTCGGGCAAATATTGGAAAAATCGAATTATGCTCACCTAGATTTTTCATGACGATTAATTTAAGCCCACGGAGACCTGTGTACAACCTTCCCCATTCTTGCTACACTACGCAAAAACGGGCGGATTTTGCGGTCACTCGTTATAATGAAATAAAATTTATATATGATAAGGTGATTTTAGATCATGAGGTGTATTTTCTATTACAACTTTTTTACCGTTTTCAAATTTCTGCCAAAAAAAGTTAAAAATTAACATTCCTACTTGTGGTTCAAGTTGAATGAAGAAGTAGAACCTTGAAAATCAGAGGTGATGATGTGGATAGTTCTTATTTAAGATAACTGAAAATTCGGATAATCCAGATTATATTTTTAATAGGTATAATAAATTATTACTGTTCACTTGTTTTGCACAATATCACAAAAATTTATCTACATTTCAAACATATGAAATTGTAATTAAATGTAATTCAGATTTACAAAGAAAAACCTCTAGCAGAAAACTTCATCATATCTGGGTACCTTCTACAAATATAATTGATCTAAGATTGGCTGGTCACGGGAGTCTAACCTGTTAGGCTATCTATACAGGGTGTCCCAGAATATGTGGGCAATTTCTCGGATTTATACAGGGGACTTAAAATAACATGGCAAGTTCCTATAAAAATTTTCCCTTCGGAGATACAGGCCCCAAAGAATGCCCCTAAAAATCAATACTTTTTAATAACTTTTAAAATTAATTATTTTTTAATATGATGGACAACACATTAGAAATACACCCATGAAAACAATTTGTCTTGTTTGGTTTGCCAGGGGTGGAGCTGTAGCACAATAATGTAAAATTTTTTTTACACCCTTTACTATAAAGTAGTATAAAGGTACAATAATATTTTTAGATAGCTTGAATCTTAAACTAAAAAAAGCACACTTAGTTGATATCGACACAATGAACTGTTTTTAAGAAAGAAACTATTTTTGTTTAATATAATTTTTATTACATCCATAAAGAGAAATAAACCAATGAAATTTGCATTATTTCTGTGCCTATCTAAAAGTATTATCTTATCAATTAAATTACACAAAGTACACACACAAGTTAAAAGTTAAAAAAAAATTGCTTTAGAGGGGCGTCCTTTGGTAGCTGGTATGGGGGCCCTCTAGAGAAAATTTTTATAGGAACTTGCCATGTTATTTTAACGTCCCCTGTATAAATCCGAGAGCCCCACATATTCTGGGACATCCTGTATAACGTCACTGCGCCTTCAAAATATATGCATATTTTCAGCAAAACGTGATAAGTGCAGAATTATTCGATAATTAGCATAATCTGGTTAAAAACAGCCATCTTATTTTATGCAGACTTGTGACTGTCTGGGGTTAAATTAAAGTAATTGTTATAATTTTTAAATAAAAAGGCCAAGAAATGGTTTTTTAACTCCACTTAACAATTTGATGAAATACACATCTCATTTTGAAGATGCAATGACGATATATGTAATGTAGTGATGTAGGAAATTAATTATTGGGAATTAAATTTATTGGAAATGTGATATCGATGCAATTTTCATAAAATAAAAATCTATTAACATTTATAAATGGTTAGGCGGAATGAAATATACATTTTAAATTTGGTCGTTTTAATTAGTATTGGATAAACGCAAAATAAAATAAGTCAAACACTTTAAACTTACTCCAGCGAAGCGGACGCCGTGGCTAAATACGCTGATCAGCAGAAATGCTTATATAAAAACCAAAGTATCTTTGTCCTATTAAGTATTAGTCTGTATGCAGTCTACTTAAGTGTGACGCTATAAAAGCTATATAAAAATCTCATTAAAACTATTTACTCAGTTTATATTTTATTATTTTCTTCTCCATAACTCAACAATTAGTGACTAAATTTTTAATTAAAAATCAAACAAAAGGTTCTTGAGAAAACACGGAAATTTAATTTTTTTAAAATTACATCATATAAATGAGCCCCTCCACACTGCTGGCACTTGTGAAGTCTAATATGAAAGTTTTATATCACCCGTTCCAACATTTGAATTGGGATTGCCTTAATCTCCGTCCGAATATTATTTTTCAGTTTGTCCAAAGATTGCAGTCGATTAGAAAACACTTTTAACTCTAGCTAGCCCCATAAAAAGAAATCACAAGCAGATATATCCTGCGACTGTGCCGACCAGTGGAGGTCCCCAAATTTCGAAATGACCCGACCAGAAAATATTCTTCGCAGAATTGCTATAGACTTCCTGGCAGTGTGGGAAGTCCTGTTGAAACCATAGTCATCGAAGATCGACATCAACATTACGAAGTTGTTGTTCAAAGTTCAAAGTTACACAACACCTCCTGGTAACGTCGTGATGTAACAGTTAGAGGCAAGTATTTTCCTCAAAGAAGAATGGCTCAAAAATTCGAAAGACTGATATTGAGCACCACACAGTAACTTTTTGGCTATGAAGTGGTAATTCCTGCAATTGCTGAGGATTTTCCATTGCCCAATAATGAAAGTTCTGTTTTTTAACCTATCCTGACAGATGAAAACGAGCTTTATCTGACATCAGCAAGCAATCAACGATATCCGGATTTTCAGCAAGTAACGCTTCGAAACGTTCGCAAAAGTCAAAGTGTGCTCCAAAATCTTGCGCGGATAACTTTGTAGGAATAGAAATGCAAGTCTTTCGAAATGCGGCAATAACTTCGGTTTGAAATATTGAAGTAGAATTGTTATTCTTAAAATAAATTTCAACCACAAAAGAATGTTGAATATTTAACCAACCCTCCATATTCTAAATTGACATTTCTCACAATGGCTTTGACAACTGACTTAAACTTCCATTTATCGCGAAAGCACGGCGACTTGATTTTAATTTGTGTCAATATATCGACGCTTTAGTACGAAAACATGCTATCTCAGATTTCGGTTGGAAAACATGCTATCTTAAATTTCAGTTGGAAAACATGCTAACTCAGATCTTTAAGTAAAAACATGCTATCTCAGTGTGACTAGAAATTTAAGTTGGCACATTGAATGATTGAAACCGTGCATTTATAATAAACTTATATAATATATTTTTAAAAAAGTAAAGAATGTTTATGTTTAGGTACACTGTTTATTTTATTTTTTTTTATTCAACATTTTTCAATTAATTTTGTTATAAACAACAAAATTGTTAATTAAAAAAATAGAATAATATGCAGTATGCAACATGTACATTACTCGACGTTTTTTGCATGTATGAAAAAAATCGAATAATTTTTAGTAATAACAAACATGCGTGTCCCGCTGTAATGTCCGGAAGAGGAAATAGTATATTATTTAACGAGCGGTAATGCAGGTCATAACTCACGCAGATGAAGTTTGCAGCACGAGCCGCAGGCGAGTGCTGTAATTCATCAAGTGAGTTATGACCATTACCGCAAGTTGAATACTATACTTTATCTACGACTACATTTTCTGTAAACGAGTTAACGTTTTTATTGCTACACCAATCTTGAAAATTTTTATATACACCTTTATACTTGTTTTTTGATTTTTCTGGTAATAAATTCTGTATTGCATTATTAGCTACTTCTCTTATTTCTGGAGGTGTACATAATAACTCATCTTCGCTATCTAAATTCATCTTTTTTAGGACTATTATTAGAAATTGATTTGAAAACGTCAAAATTATTTTGTTAAAATATCAAATGACATTAGTCCCNATATTTGTCATTTTTTATACAGGGTGTTCAGTATTTAGAAAAGTATTTTTAGTATTTTTTTAACAATGCGGGCAGCTAATTTGTATGTACCATTTTATTTGAAATTTGCAAAATTTATGCAATAATCAATTTCTTTAATTTTATTTTTTTCCGGACATTACAGCGGGACACGCTGTATTTTTATTTATTTATGTAGTTTATTTTGCTTATATGACAAAACATGAATGTATAGCAATGGTCAATATGATGGACAACAATGGCCCACACAAAAATACAAATATAGATGTACACACACATATAAAATGCTAACATAAAAAAGTAAATTGTACTACAATTGATAAAATTCGGAGAGAATAAAAACATTTCTTTATTAAGTATATTTTTAGTGTATATTTAAAGATATTCAAGTTATTACTGGGCTTAATGTTACCGGGCAAATTATTAAAAATCCTTAAGCCAATATGATCAGGTGATTTCGATATAGCAGCATATTTTGGGTAGGGCAGATGGAATTGATCCTTTTGTCTCGTATTTAAGTGATGAATATCATTATTTGTTTTAAACTTTGTTCTATTTTTATAAACATAAATACACATTTCTAAAATATATAATGAGGCAACAGTCATGAGATCAAAATCAACAAAAAGGGTTCTGCAAGATCGTGTACTTGGAACACCGGCAATTGTTCTAATCACACGTTTTTGTGAAACAAAAACAGCCTACGATAAGGTGGAGTCACCCCATAAACAAATTCCATATCGTATTCGAGATTCTATTTGAGCATAATATACGTTCATTAACTGATGTTTAGTTAGGACGTCTTTAATGTTTTTAAAAAGAAAATTTGTGGAGTTTAATAAACTGACTAAATTTTTACAATGTGGCTTCCAATCCATATGTTCGTCGAGTGTAATACCTAGAAATTTTACTGGTTCCGTGATACATTTGAGGTAT